TCCTCCTTGCTCTCTGTCAGATTACATGTATCTGTGGAGCACTCAGCCACTGCACTCTGCAGCATCTGGTATTGTGGCTGAATTACATCGCCGCTTAAAAATAGCCCAGGCAGTAGGAGCCAACCAGTCACACTGCAGACTGGCCCTGCCTGCATCTCAAATGGCACCCTATTTCCCATGAGCCCTGGTCAAAAGTAGTTCACTACAGAGGGAATAGGGTGCCATTTGGGAGGTAGGCCTTTATCTCTCCTGGTGAACTAGAGAGGAGGGGCTAGAGAGGGGAGGGGCTAGGGGGGGCTGGAGAGAGGGGGGGCTGGAGAGAGGAGGGGCTAGGGGGGATGGAGAGAGGCGGGGCTAGGGGGGTGGAGAGAGGCGGGGCTAGGGGGGATGGAGAGAGGCGGGGCTAGGGGGGATGGAGAGAGGCGGGGCTAGGGGGGATGGAGAGAGGCGGGGCTAGGGGGGATGGAGACAGGCGGGGCTAGGGGGGATGGAGAGAGGCGGGGCTAGGGGGGCTGGAGAGAGGCGGGGCTAGGGGGGCTGGAGAGAGGTGGGGCTAGGGGGGCTGGAGAGAGGCGGGGCTAGGGGGGCTGGAGAGAGGCGGGGCTAGGGGGGCTGGAGAGAGGCGGGGCTAGGGGGGCTGGAGAGAGGAGGGGCTGGGGAGGGGGGGGGCTGGGGAGAGGAGGGGCTAGAGAGAGGAGTGGAGAGGAGGGGCTAGAGAGAGGAGGGGCTGGTGAGGGGAGGGGAGGAGCTAGGGGGGGCTGGAGAAAAGGGAGGGGCTGGAGAGAGGAGGGGCTGGAGAGAGGAGGAGGGGTTAGAGGGGCTGGAGAAAGGAGGGGCTGGAGAGGGGAGGGGGGCATTGGTTGTAGGCACATTTCATATTGAAAATAAGCAACGGAATCAGTTCAATAGCTACCTCTGATCTGAAAGGGGTGCATGCTGTGCTTATTGCACTGCTGTGTGTGTGGGAATCCCAGTGGTGTTTCAATGTATTGTTCCTATTATTTTGATTGATTATATGTGATGTTGGGGTAAAACTGGAATAGAGGTTTATTTAATGACAATGGTTTTATAATATGACACCTGCCAGTGTTTGGAGCGTCATTCTAATGGCACACACACACACACACACACACACACACACACACACACACACACACACACACACACACACACACACACACACACACACAGACAGACACACAGAGACACACAGAGACACAAACAGACAGTTTAGGCAGGGGAGGCTGTGGTGAGTGGAGTCTGAGTAGTAGATTATTGATTAAGGATCCTCTATCTGGGGAGAAGGGGAGAAGGGAGGCTGGATACTATGACAACGTCTACTTACGTTACTCTGCCCAGTCCACCACGGTCATCCCCTCTTCCCTTAGCTCCTGGTCATCTCCTCTTCCCTTAGCTCCTGGTCGTCCCCTCTTCCCTTAGCTCCTGGTCGTCCCCTTAGCTCCTGGTCGTCCCCTCTTCCCTTAGCTCCTGGTCGTCCCCTTAGCTCCTGGTCATCCCCTCTTCCCTTAGCTCCTGGTCGTCCCCTCTTCCCTTAGCTCCTGGTCGTCCCCTCTTCCCTTAGCTCCTGGTCATCTCCTCTTCCCTTAGCTCCTGGTCGTCCCCTCTTCCCTTAGCTCCTGGTCATCCCCTCTTCCCTTAGCTCCTGGTCATCTCCTCTTCCCTTAGCTCCTGGTCGTCTCCTCTTCCCTTAGCTCCTGGTCGTCCCCTCTTCCCTTAGCTCCTGGTCGTCCCCTCTTCCCTTAGCTCCTGGTCGTCCCCTCTTCCCTTAGCTCCTGGTCGTCCCCTCTTCCCTTAGCTCCTGGTCATCTCCTCTTCCCTTAGCTCCTGGTCATCTCCTCTTCCCTTAGCTCCTGGTCGTCTCCTCTTCCCTTAGCTCCTGGTCGTCCCCTCTTCCCTTAGCTCCTGGTCATCTCCTCTTCCCTTAGCTCCTGGTCGTCCCCTCTTCCCTTAGCTCCTCCTGGTCGTCCCCTCTTCCCTTAGCTCCTGGTCGTCCCCTCTTCCCTTAGCTCCTCCTGGTCGTCCCCTCTTCCCTTAGCTCCTGGTCATCTCCTCTTCCCTTAGCTCCTGGTCGTCCCCTCTTCCCTTAGCTCCTCCTGGTCGTCCCCTCTTCCCTTAGCTCCTGGTCGTCCCCTCTTCCCTTAGCTCCTGGTCATCTCTTGGTAATGCATTCATCCTTTTCCTCCATCCATATAAACTCAGCAAAAACAAACGTCCCCTTTTCAGGACCCTGTCTTTCAAAGATAATTCGTAAAAATCTAAATAACTTCACAGATCTTCATTGTAAAGGGTTTAAACACTGTTTCCCATGCTTGTTCAATGAACCATAAACAATTAATTAACATGCAGACACTAACAGCTTACATATGGTAGGCAATTAAGGTCACAGTTATGAAAACTTAGGACACTAAAGAGGCCTTTCTACTGACTCTGAAAAACACCAAAAGAAAGATGCCCAGGGTCCCTGCTCATCTGCGTGAACGTGCCTTAGGCATGCTGCAAGGAGGCATGAGGACTGCGGATGTGGCCAGGGCAATAAATTGCAATGTCCATACTGTGAGACGCCTAAGACAGCGCTACAGGGAGACAGGACGGACAGCTGATCGTCCTCGCAGTGGCAGACCACATGTAACAACCTGCACAGGATCGGTGCATCCGAACATCACACCTGCGGGACGGGTACAGGATGGCAACAACTGCCCGAGTTACACCAAGAGCGCACAATCCCTCCATCAGTGCTCAGACTGTCCGCAATCGGCTGAGAGAGGCTGGACTGAGGGCTTGTAGGCCTGTTGTAAGGCAGGTCCTCACCAGACATCACCGGCAACAACGTCGCCTATGGGCACAAACCCACCGTCACTCGACCAGACAGGACTGGCAGAAAGTGCTCTTCACTGACGTTGAGGTTTTGTCTCACCAGGGGTGATGGTCGGATTCGCATTTATCGTTGAAGGAATGAGCGTTACACCGAGGCCTGTACTCTGAAGAGGGATCAATTTGGAGGTGGCAGGTCCGTCATGGTCTGGGGCGGTTTGTCACAGCGTCATCGGACTGAGCTGGTTGTCTTTGCAGGCAATCTCAACGCTGTGCGTTACAGGGAAGACATCCTCCTCCCTCATGTGGTACCCTTCCTGCAGGCTCATCCTGACATGACCCTCCAGCATGATAATGCCACCAGCCATACTGCTCGTTCTGTGCATGATTTCCTGCTAGACAGGAATGTCAGTGTTCTGCCATGGCCAGCGAAGAGCCCGGATCTCAATCCATTGAGCACGTCTGGGACCTGTTGGATCGGAGGGTGAGGGCTAGGGTGGGGTAACATCTCATAGCAAGAACAGGCAAATCTGGTGCAGTCCATGAGGAGGAGATGCACTGCAGTACTTAATGCAGCTGGTGGCCACACCAGATACTGACTGTTACTTTTGATTTTGACCCCCTCTTTGTTCAGGGACACATTATTCCATTTCTGTTAGTCACATGTCTGTGGAACTTGTTCAGTTTATGTCTCAGTTGTTGAATCTTGTTATGTTCATACAAATATTTACACATGTTAAGTTTGCTGAAAATAAACGCAGTTGACAGTGAGGGGACGTTTCTTTTTTTGCAGAGTTTATATTAGGGTTAGCTACTCTACTCTCCAGTTCCCCTCTCTAGGATAATATGTATTGAAATGTTGTGTTGTCTGTCTGTCTGTCTGTCTGTCCAGTCCATAGCTGAAGGCTTCAAGGAGGCTGTCCAGTACGTTCTGCCACAGCTAATGATGGTTCCTGTATACCACTGTTTGCACTACTTTGAACTACTGCAGGTGAGTGTTTACGCATTACGGTATGACACACACACACACACACACACACACACACACACACACATTATGTCTGATCCAGTAGAGACTGTCAGTTACAGGCAGTGTGGGGACTAGTAGAATAGCTATGCCCATGACTTTGCCTAAGGATTAATCCATGTCCTACCATACCCGTACCTCTATCCTATTCCTTTCCTGCCTCAGTTTCCAGCCTTCAGGCCTTTCCAACCTGCTGTGTTTGCGTTCCAACCTTTGTGTTTGCGTTCCAACCGGTGTGTTTGCGTTCCAACCGTTGTGTTTGCGTGTGTAAGACATGTCCCTCTCACAGTAAAGTTGACCAGTGTTCCAACTTAGCGTTTTTTAAAAACGTGTCCCCCATCTTGTGATCAAATATGGAAATATGGTCAGGCTCTGGTCTGGTCTGGTCTGGCTCTCTGGTCTGGTCTGGTCTGGCTCTCTGGTCTGGTCTGGCTCTCTGGTCTGGTCAGGCTCTCTGGTCTGGTCTGGCTCTCTGGTCTGGTCTGGCTCTCTGGTCTGGTCTGGCTCTCTGGTCTGGTCTGGTCAGGCTCTCTGGTCTGGTCTGGTCAGGCTCTCTGGTCTGGTCTGGTCTGGCTCTCTGGTCTGGTCTGGCTCTCTGGTCTGGTCTGGCTCTCTGGTCTGGTCTGGTCTGGCTCTCTGGTCTGGTCTGGCTCTCTGGTCTGGTCAGGCTCTCTGGTCTGGTCAGGCTCTCTGGTCTGGTCTGGCTCTCTGGTCTGGTCTGGCTCTCTGGTCTGGTCTGGTCTGGCTCTCTGGTCTGGTCTGGCTCTCTGGTCTGGTCTGGCTCTCTGGTCTGGTCTGGTCTGGTCTGGTCTGGTCTGGCTCTCTGGTCTGGTCTGGTCTGGCTCTCTGGTCTGGTCAGGCTCTCTGGTCTGGTCTGGCTCTCTGGTCTGGTCTGGTCTGGCTCTCTGGTCTGGTCTGGCTCTCTGGTCTGGTCTGGCTCTCTGGTCTGGTCTGGTCTGGTCTGGTCTGGCTCTCTGGTCTGGTCTGGTCAGGCTCTCTGGTCTGGTCTGGTCTGGTCTGGCTCTCTGGTCTGGTCTGGCTCTCTGGTCTGGTCTGGTCTGGTCTGGTCTGGTCAGGCTCTCTGGTCTGGTCTGGTCTGGTCTGGTCTGGTCTGGCTCTCTGGTCTGGTCTGGTCTGGTCAGGCTCTCTGGTCTGGTCTGGTCTGGTCAGGCTCTCTGGTCTGGTCTGGTCTGGTCTGGTCAGGCTCTCTGGTCTGGTCTGGCTCTCTGGTCTGGTCTGGATTTGAAAGCTCCTATTTCTTCTCACTTTATATAGATTTTCTATAGATTAGTTTTAACCTAACATAGTTATTAGATGTGCGTTGATTGTTGACATCCAATGTATGTAGTGTTCCAGGAGTAGTGCAGACAGCACCAGGTGGTCTCTACCAGTTCTATCAGGAGTAGTGGCAGACAGCACCAGGTGGTCTCTACCAGTTCTATCAGGAGTAGTGTTTGGCGGAGGAGCGCCCCCTCCAGGATGAACTCGGAACAGCACTTCCATCAGGAGTAGTGCAGCTGGACCTGGTAGAGCCCACCTGATGCTGTCTGCAGATCCTCTCCACCTGCTGCTTGTTGTGGCATTAACCACCTCCACGGAAAATTGTGTGTGTGCCTTCCAAAATACCTTTTATATGGTCCTAAAAGGAGGGAGGTGTTTTTCCCCCAATAGAACAATTCAGGTTATATTACTAGCTTCTATCCATACTTTAAAGAGTGAAAAACTGCCAATCTTCATTAACCCCCCCCCCCCCCCATGGGGAAAATTGCATACATTACATCTGTGCATAGTTGAAACATCACCTTGTCTTCTCTGAGCAGCAGCTGCAGGAGCGCAGTGAGGAACAGGATGACCGAGAGGGTCTGAAGCAGGCCATCACCGCTCTGCTCAACCTCCAGTGTAGCGTGGAGCGCATCTACACCAAACACCTGCCCCGACGCAAGCCCGGGTACGTACCCTGCTCCTCCACAGCATTACACTCTGCTGATACACGTACCGCCGGGTCCAGAATTATTGGATCCCTTGATAAAGATGCTCAAATTTAATACCGTATAAAATAACTTAACAAAATAAAAATGCTACAATGTTATACTAATACAATTGCTCATAGAAATAGATTTTGTTTAACAAGTAATAAAACAACAATAGGTGTCAAAATGATTGGACCGTGTTTTCAATACTCCAGCACCTTGCCTGGTCAGACGAAGGATAATGACACTGAGACTTTTTCTAAAATGTTTTATGAGATTGGAGAACACACTGGGAGGGATCTTAGACCATTCCTCCATACAGAATCTTTCCAGATCCTTGATATCCTTTGTTTGCGCTTGTGGACTGCCCTCTTCAATTCAAACCACAGGTTTTCAATGGGGTTCAAGTCCGGGTTACTGAGATGGCCATTGCAAAATGTTGATTTTGTGGTAAATTAACTATTTCTTTGTGGATTTTGATGTGTGTGCTTGGGGTTATTGTCTTGCTGGAAGATCCACTTGTGGCCAAGTGTCAGCCTCCTGGCGGAGACAACCAGGTTTTTGGCTAAAATGTTCTGGTACTGGGAAAAGTTCATAGTTCATGATGCCCTTGAGCTTAACAAGGGCCCCGGGACCAGTGGAAGCTAAATAGCACCATATTTTACAGTAGGGATGAGGTATTTTCTGCTTATGCAACGTTCTATCAAAGGCCAAACCCACAGCTGGTGTGCGTGGCCAAAGACGTATATTTTCGTGCGATATGGCAATAGCACCGGTTCCAGTCCAAGTACCAATGCCGTTTTAGCTAACTCCAGGCGGTGCTATTGTCAGATGACATAAAAATAGATGCACACCAATGGTGGGTTTGGCCTTTGAAAGAACAATGGCCACCAGTTACCATCCCTGGTCTAGAGAGACTAGATTGATTCCTCAGTGTTCTCACCACCCTCTCTCTCTGTCTCTCTCTCTCTCTCTCTCTCTCCCTGTGTCTGTGTCTCTCTCTCTCTCTCTGTCTGTCTCTGCCTCTCTCTCTCTCTCTCTCTCTGTCTCTCTGTCTCTCTGTCTCTCTGTCTCTCTGTCTCTCTCTCTCTCTCTGTCTCTCTGTCTCTCTCTGTCTCTCTCTGTCTCTCTCTGTCTCTCTCTGTCTCTCTCTGTCTCTCTCTGTCTCTGTCTGTCTGTCTGTCTCTCTCTGTCTCTCTCTGTCTGTCTGTCTCTCTCTCTCTCTGTCTCTCTCTCTCTCTGTCTCTCTCTCTGTCTCTGTCTCTCTCTGTCTCTCTCTGTCTCTCTCTGTCTCTCTCTGTCTCTCTCTGTCTCTCTCTCTGTCTCTCTCTCTGTCTCTCTCTGTCTCTCTCTCTCTCTCTCTCTCTCTCTCTCTCTCTCTCTCTCTCTCTGTCTCTCTGTCTCTCTGTCTCTCTCTGTCTGTCTCTCTCCAGTGAGCCAATGTACCGCCTATACAGTCGCCAGGTGCGCAGCAAGCAGCTGGCCATCAAGCGGATGAACGAGATCCAGAAGAGCATCGATGGCTGGGAGGGGAAGGACATCGGCCAGTGCTGTTCCGAGTTCATCCTGGAGGGGGCGCTCCTCCGTGCCGGCGCCAAACACGAGCGACACAACTTTCTGTTTGACGGCCTCATGATCAGCTGCAAGGCCAATCAGAGCTCCCGACTCCCCGGTTCCGGAAGCGGGGCGGAGTTCCGTCTCAAGGAGAAGTTTGTCCTACGGAAAGTCCGCATTGTGGACCGCGAGGACTCGGCGGAGTTAAAACATGCCTTTGAACTCGTCGGTAAAGACGAGAACTGTGTGGTGTTCTGCGCTCGCTCGGCGGAGGAGAAGGGGGCGTGGATGGCGGCACTGGTGACCCTGCAGTACCGCTCCACGTTGGACCGTATGCTAGACACTGTGCTACAACACGAGGAGCAGGCCCAGCCCCTCCGCCTGCCCTCGCCAGAGCTATACCGCTTCGCTGTGCACGACTCGGAGGAGAACATCGTGTTTGAGGACCGCGTCCAGAGCAAGACGGGGATACCTATTATTAAGGCTGGGACGGTGGTCAAGCTTATAGAGAGGCTCACATACCACATGTACGCTGATCCCAACTTTGTGCGCACCTTTCTGACCACCTACCGGTCATTCTGCAAACCCCAGGAGCTCCTGGGACTGTTGATAGACAGGTATGGTACCACAGAATTACAACGGTGCATTCGGAAAGTATTCAGACCCCTTTTTCCACATTCTGTTACATTTCAGCCTTATTCTAAAATGGATGAAATTACAAAATGTTCCTCATCAATCTTCACACGTTACCCCATAATGACGACGCGAAAACAGGTTTTTAGAATCTTTGCATATTTATAAAAATAAAAAAACGGATACCTATTTTACATAAGTATTCAGACCCTTTGCTATGAGACTCAAAATTGAGCTCAGGTGCATCCTGCTTCCATTGATCATCGTTGAGATGTTTCTACAACTTGATTGGACTCCACCTGTGGTAAATTAAATTGATTGGAGACAGGATTGTGTCAAGGCACAGATCTGGGGAAGGGTACCAAAAAATATCTGCAGCATTGAAGGTCCCCAAGAACACAGTGGCCTCCACCATTCTTAAATGGAAGAAGTTTGGAATCGCCAAGACTCTTCCTAGAGCTGGCCACCCGGCCAAACTGAGCAATCGGGGGAGAAGGGCCTTGGTCAGGGAATTAACCAAGAACCCTATAGTCACTCTGAAAGAGCTCCAGAGTTCCACTGTGGAGATGGGAGAACCTTCCAGAAGGACAACCATCTCTGCAGCACTCCACCAATCAGGCCTTTATGGTAGAGTGGCCAGAGGGAAGCCACTTCTCAGTAAAAGGCACATGACAGCCCGCTTTGAGTTTGCCAAAAGACACCTAAAGGACTCTCAGACCATGAGAAACAAGATCTTCTGGACTGATTTAAACCAAGATTGAACTATTTGGCCTGAATGCCAAGCATCACGTCTGGAGGAAACCTGGCACCATCCCTACGGTGAAGCATGGTGGTGGCAGCATCATGCTGTGGGGATGTTTTTCAGCGGCAGGGACTGGGAGACTAGTCAGGTTCGAGGGAAAGATGAACGGAGCAAAGTACAGAGAGATCCTTGATGAAAACCTGCTCCAGAGTGCTCAGGACCTCCGACTGGGGCAAAGGTTCACCTTCCAACAGGACAACGACCCTAAGCACACAGCCAAGACAACGCAGGAGTGGCTTCGGGACTTGTCTCTGAATTTCCTTGAGTGGCCCAGCCAGAGCCCGGACTTGAACCCGATCGAACATCTCTGGAGAGACCTGAAAATAGTTGTGTAGCAACGCTCCCCATCCAACTTGACAGAGCTTGAGAGGATCTGCAGAGAAGAATGGGAGAAACTCCCCAAATACAGGTGTGCCAAGCTTGTAGCGTCATACCCAAGAAGACTTGAGGCTGTAATCGCTGGCAAAGGGGCTTCAACAAAGTACTGAGTAAAGGGTCTGAATACTTATGTAAATGTGATATTTCAGTTTTTTATTTTTAATACGATGCAACAATTTCTAAAAACTATTTTTTTGCTTTTTCATTATGGGGTATTGTGTGTAGATTGATTAGGCAAAAAAAACGATTTAATCCATTTTAGAATAAGGCTGTAACGTAATAAAATGTGTAAGAATTTGAGGGGTCTGAATACTTTCCGAATGCACTGTATATCTCTATGTATGGTGCACCGAATGTGCATGTCTGCTTCCTGACTCCTTACGAGACCCTTTTTAAGATGCAGTTGTTTCATGTAGTCACTCAGCGGGGTTGGAAACAAGCAGATGCGTCCGGTTTTCAGGGGAAATGGAAAGAGCCTGTAAGGCCACTTCCGCTTTTGGACGTTAACAAGGCGACACTCCGTCTTTAAAGATATTCTCCGGTACTTTTGTGCACCAAGGTCTCGCTCTTTCTCTCGCGCTACTGTGTGTGCGTCTTGCTAGCTGTCACTCAAATGGCGAGGGGCTGAAGCTCATTGGCTGAAACTCAAGTTGCTCAGTGGCTGGCCCAAGTGGGGTAAATGGGCGGTGCCGTTTTCCTTACATCTTCCAGAAAACAGTCGCTTTCAAACTAGGAATTTCGTGGCTAGTTGAGGTAAAACAGTAATTCTGCTCATAGATTATGTACAGTTGAAGTCGGAAGTTTACATACACTTAGGTTGGAGTCATTAAAACTCGTTTTTCAACCACTCCACAAATTTCTTGTTAACAAACTATAGTTTTGGCAAGTTGGTTAAGACATCTACTTTGTGCATGACACAAGTAATTTTTCCAACAATTGTTTACAGGCAGATTATTTCACTTATAATTCACTGTATCACAATTCCAGTGGGTCAGAAGTTTACATACACTAAGTTGACTGCCTTTAAACAGCTTGGAAAGTACGCAAGTATAAACACCATGGGACCACACAGCCGTCATACCACTCAGGAAGGAGACGCGTTCTGTCTCCTAGAGATTAACGTACTTTGGTGCGAAAAGTGCAAATCAATCCCAGAACAACAGCAAAGGACCTTGTGAAGATGCTGGAGGAAACCGGTACAAAAGTATCTATATTCACAGTAAAACAAGTCCTATATCGACATAACCTGAAAGGCCGCTCAGCAAGGAAGAAGCCACTGCTCCAAAACCGCCATAAAAAAGCCAGACTACGGTTTGCAACTGCACATGGGGACAAAGATCGTACTTTTTGGAGAAATGTCCTCTGGTCTGATGAAACAAAAATAGAACTGTTTGGCCATAATGACCATCGTTATGTTTGGAGGAAAAGGGGGGACGCTTGCAAGCCGAAGAACACCATCCCAACCGTGAAGCACGGGGGTGGCAGCATCATGCTGTGGGGGTGCTTTGCTGCAGGAGGGACTGGTGCACTTCACAAAATAGATGGCATCATGAGGAAGGAAAATTATGTGGATATATTGAAGCAACATCTCAAGACATCAGTCAGGAAGTTAAAGCTTGGTCACAAATGGGTCTTCCAATTGGACAATGACCCCAAGCATACTTCCAAAGTTGTGGCAAAATGGCTTAAGGACAAGAAAGTCAAGGTATTGGAGTGGCCATCACAAAGCCCTGACCTCAATCCTATAGAAAATGTGTGGGCAGAACTGAAAAAGCGTGTGCGAGCAAGGAGGCCTACAAACCTGACTCAGTTACACCAGCTCTGTCAGGAGGAATGGGCCAAAATTCACCCAACTTATTGTGGGAAGCTTGTGGAAGGCTACACAAAACGTTTGACCCAAGTTAAACAATTTAAAGGCAATGCTACCAAATACTAATTGAGTGTATGTAAACTTCTGACCCACTGGGAATGTGATGAAGGAAATAAAAGCTGAAATAAATCATTCTCTCTACTATTATTCTGACATTTCACATTCTTAAAATAAAGTGGGGATCCTAACTGACCTAAGACAGGGAGTTTTTACTAGGATTAAATGTCAGGAATTGTGAAAAACTGAATTTAAATGTATTTGGCTAAGGTGTACGTAAACTTCCCACTTCAGCTGTATGTATGAACTACATATTGACACATCCAGCCCAAAGCGGGAGGTTTAAGAAAATACTTAATAGTCGCCAATGTACCGGAGCATGTCTTGAACAACTCCTCCACATTTGCTGGATTGGTTGAAAGGTGCAGAAGAGAAGTTTTTTTCTTCTCAGGACCAGGGTTTTCGGCAGCATGGCCTTCGTCATGGAGTACAACTGTTTGGTTTGGCAATAACGTATTTGATCTTTCCCAGGATTGAGATCCCCGAGCCAGAGCCCACAGAGGCAGACAAACAGGCTCTATGGAATGGGGATCAGCCAATGGCTGCTGAGCTACAGAGGTTCCGCAGGGAGTACGTACAACCTGTCCAACTCAGGTATGATCACCGTTCCATTGTCCAATGAGCCTGCATCCCACCATACCACTCTCCAATCAGATTCCATCCCACCTGGGTTGGGAAGGTTTCTAGAACAGTAATTCCACCATCACTGTGTCTGTGGTATTTTACCCTCTTCTTCAATTCTTCTTCTTCTTCTGTCTCTCTCCCTCTCAGGGTTCTGAATGTGTTCCGTCAGTGGGTGGAACATCATTTCTATGACTTTGAGAACGACCCCGAGCTACGAGGCAAACTGGAGGAGTACATCAGCAGCATTATACAGCTCCGAGGTCGGCTCCCATTACGCCGCCACTTTTAATACTAATATGTTCATTCGCAAGGGGCACGTTTGCAGTGTTCACTCGTTTTTATTTACCAGCCACTGATGTTATTGTGAAAGAAATGTTGTGAAGTTTATTTGCCGTATGTAATGAATACATTGGAAGGTTGTGACACAGATTCTCAAACTTTGACTTTTAACCTCAGACAGTCTAGATGGGGACAATGGTCATGTGTTTTATGTGTGAGAGAGACACATTTCCTTTCTCTGAAAAGTATTCCTCCTTCTTGCTTGACCAGGCAAGTCGATGAGGAAGTGGGTTGAGTCCATTAACAAGATCATCAAGAGGAAGATGCAGACTCAGTCCAACGGGGTCAGCCACAACATCACCTTCGAGAGCCCGCCCCCGCCCATCGAGTGGCACATCAGCCGCCTGGGCCAGACGGACACCTTTGACCTCATGACCCTTCACCCCATAGAGATCGCCCGCCAGCTCACCCTGCTTGAGTCTGAACTCTACAGGTGAGACCACTGTTACCATGGTGACACCTCCTCAGTATACCACTACTATACCGTCTACTACTATACCGTCTACTACTATACCACTACTACTATACCGTCTACTACTATACCACTACTACTATACCGTCTACTACTATACCACTACTACTATACCGTCTACTACTATACCGTCTACTACTATACCACTGCTACTATACCGTCTACTACTATACCGTCTACTACTATACCACTACTACTATACAACCGTCTACTACTATACCACTACTACTATACCACTACTACTATACCACTACTACTATACCACTACTACTATACCTCTACTACTATACCACTACTACTATACCACTACTACTATACCACTACTACTATACCACTACTACTATACCGTCTACTACTATACCACTACTACTATACCACTACTACTATACCACTACTACTATACCACTACTACTATACCGTCTACTACTATACGTCTACTACTATACCGTCTACTACTATACCACTACTACTATACGTCTACTACTATACCACTACTACTATACCACTACTACTATACCGTCTACTACTATACCGTCTACTACTATACCGTCTACTACTATACCACTACTACTATACCACTACTACTATACCGTCTACTACTATACCGTCTACTACTATACCACTACTACTATACGTCTACTACTATACCACTACTACTATACCACTACTACTATACCGTCTACTACTATACCGTCTACTACTATACCGTCTACTACTATACCGTCTACTACTATACCACTACTACACCGTCTACTACTATACCACTACTACTATACCACTACTACTATACCGTCTACTACTATACCACTACTACTATACCGTCTACTACTATACCACTACTACTATACCACTACTACTACACCACTACTACTATACCGTCTACTACTATACCACTACTACTACACCACTACTACTATACCGTCTACTACTATACCACTACTACTATACCGTCTACTACTATACCACTACTACTATACCACTACTACTACACCACTACTACTATACCGTCTACTACTATACCACTACTACTATACCGTCTACTACTATACCGTCTACTACTATACCGTCTACTACTATACCACTACTACTATACGTCTACTACTATACCACTACTACTACTATACCGTCTACTACTATACCGTCTACTACTATACCGTCTACTACTATACCACTACTACTATACCGTCTACTACTATACCACTACTACTATACCGTCTACTACTATACCGTCTACTACTATACCGTCTACTACTATACCACTACTACTATACCACTACTACTATACCGTCTACTACTATACCGTCTACTACTATACCGTCTACTACTATACCACTACTACTATACCACTACTACTATACCGTCTACTACTATACCGTCTACTACTATACCGTCTACTACTATACCGTCTACTACTATACCACTACTACTATACCACTACTACTATACCACTACTACTATACCACTACTACTATACCGTCTACTACTATACCACTACTACTATACCGTCTACTACTATACCGTCTACTACTATACCGTCTACTACTATACCGTCTACTACTATACCACTACTACTATACCACTACTACTATACCGTCTACTACTATACCACTACTACTATACCGTCTACTACTATACCACTACTACTATACCGTCTACTACTATACCACTACTACTATACCGTCTACTACTATACCGTCTACTACTATACCACTACTACTATACCGTCTACTACTATACCACTACTACTATACCGTCTACTACTATACCACTACTACTATACCGTCTACTACTATACCGTCTACTACTATACCACTACTACTATACCGTCTACTACTATACCACTACTACTATACCACTACTACTATACCGTCTACTACTATACCGTCTACTACTATACCACTACTACTATACCGTCTACTACTATACCACTACTACTATACCGTCTACTACTATACCGTCTACTACTATACGCTACTACTATACCCTACTACTATATACCGTCTACTACTATACCACTACTACTATACCACCACTACTATACCACCACTACTATACCGTCTACTACTATACCGTCTACTACTATACCACTACTACTATAACCGTCTACTACTATACCACCACTGCATACCGTCTACTACTATACCACTACTACTATACCACTACTACTATACGTCTACTACTATACCAGTCTACTACTATACCACTACTACTATACCGTCTAATACATACCGTCTACTACTATACCGTCTACTACTATACCACTACTATATACCACTACTACTATACGTTCTACTTACTATACCGTCTACTACTATACCGTCTACTACTATACCACTACTACTATACCACTACTACTATACCGTCTAATACTATACCGTCTACTACTATACCGTCTACTACTATACCACTACTACTATACCACTACTACTATACCGTCTACTACTATACCGTCTACTACTATACCGTCTACTACTATACCGTCTACTACTATACCACTACTACTATACCACTACTACTATACCGTACTACTACTATACCATACTACTATACCGTCTACTACTATAACCACTACTACTATACCACTACTACTATACCGTCTACTACTATACCGTCTATACTATACCGTCTACTACTATACCACTACTACTATACCGTCTACTACTATACCACTACTACTATACCGTCTACTACTATACCGTCTACTACTATACCGTCTACTACTATACCACTACTACTATACCACTACTACTATACCACTACTACTATACCGTCTACTACTATACCGTCTACTACTATACCACTACTACTATACCACTACTACTATACCGTCTACTACTATACCACTACTACTATACCGTCTACTACTATACCGTCTACTACTATACCGTCTACTACTATACCACTACTACTATACCACTACTACTATACCGTCTACTACTATACCACTACTACTATACCGTCTACTACTATACCACTACTACTATACCGTCTACTACTATACCACTACTACTATACCACTACTACTATACCGTCTACTACTATACCGTCTACTACTATACCGTCTACTACTATACCACTACTACTATACCGTCTACTACTATACCACTACTACTATACCGTCTACTACTATACCGTCTACTACTATACCGTCTACTACTATACCACTACTACTATACCACTACTACTATACCACTACTACTATACCGTCTACTACTATACCGTCTACTACTATACCGTCTACTACTATACCACTACTACTATACCGTCTACTACTATACCACTACTACATAACGTCTACTACTATACCGTCTACTACTATACCGTCTAACTATCACTAACTACTATACCACTACTACTATACCGTCTACTACTATACCGTCTACTACTATACCGTCTACTACTATACCACTACTACTATACCGTCTACTACTATACCGTCTACTACTATACCGTCTACTACTATACCACTACTACTATACCGTCTACTACTATACCGTCTACTACTATACCACTACTACTATACCGTCTACTACTATACCACTACTACTATACCGTCTACTACTATACCACTACTACTATACCGTCTAACTATACGTACTACTATACCGTCTACTACTTATTACTAACTATACCACTACTACTTATACCGTCTACTACTATACCGTCTACTACATTACGTCTACTACTTACCGTCTACTACTATACCACTACTACTATACCGTCTACTACTATACCGTCTACTACTATACCGTCTACTACTATACCACTACTACTATACCACTACTACTATACCGTCTACTACTATACCACTACTACTATACCACTACTACTATACCGTCTACTACTATACCGTCTACTACTATACCGTCTACTACTATACCACTACTACTATACGTCTACTACTATACCGTCTACTACTATACCGTCTTAATAAATTCATTAAAAATCCTACAATGTGATTTTCTGGATTTTTTTTTCTTCTCAATTTGTCTGTCATAGTTGACGTGTACCTATGATGAAAATTACAGGCCTCTCTCATCTTTTTAAGTGGGAGAACTTGCACAATTGGTGGCTGACTAAATACTTTTTTTCCCCACTGTATATATTCCCAAAACTAGAATCTGTTACGAACACAGTGCACTAAGTTTTATAAATTTGCCGCTTTGCCAAAAGTTTTTTTTTTTTAAGTGTATGGTTTAGGAGTGCGTGGTCGAATTGAGTTTGCGCACACGCGCACTTCCTAACGAAAATATGCAAATACATGCTACAACAGGCCAATAGGATCTTGATAGCTCGTGCTTTGCTTTGCCCACCACCTTCCTTGTTCTGCCAACTATGCTTCATTTGCTACCAATGTAAACGACACAGATGAACTATCTTGGGTTAGTTATAAATATCTTTGCTATTCTATAACCATTACCGTGACGATCATTTGATTTGCCACCATGTGAAATGGCGACAAGCTCTCACGATAAAAACACACAATAAAAACAGCAAGAAATATACAAATATACAACAACCAGCAATGAAGTCGTAAATACAATAAACGGTACTTTTGTAAATACAGGCAGTAGTACACTGTTAAAAAACGTGATGCTGAACTCTGGCTCAAGCCGTACTGTCTGTACAGGGGGCCATTCTGAAGTCCTCTGACCATGTACAGGGGGCCATTCTGAACTCCTCTGACCATGTACAGGGGGCTATTCTGAACTCCTCTGACCATGTACAGGGGGCCATTCTGAACTCCTCTGACCATGTACAGGGGGCCATTCTGAAGTCCTCTGACCATGTACAGGGGGCCATTCTGAAGTCCTCTGACCATGTACAGGGGGCCATTCTGAAGTCCTCTGACCATGTACAGGTGGCTATTCTAAAGTCCTCTGACCATGTACAGGGGGCTATTCTGAAGTCCTCTGACCATGTACAGGGGGCTATTCTGAAG